ATCCCACTTTCTAGGAATCACCTGACCTTCATGATCACAATACGAAAATGGCGACAAAATAGACTCCAACTGTGTGTGATCTGTTACAACGCACTTTGAAAAATTATGCACTTTGAAAACAAAAATTCAAAGTTAGTATATTTTTTTCAAAGTGCGTTGTCACAATGCTCGTCGAGAATAATTTTCAAAAATCACATGAAGGTCTTTTTATTGTTATTTGATATGTGTATAGAAGTATTAACATGTTTATTCCGACGTAAGATGATTCATACTTCCGTAAAAAAAAAATTAAAACAAACAAAAAATGGAATGATTGGCTACTCAGTGGCGACTTTTCTTTCAAAGGTCGTTCAGAATATGGTTGGAAAACATCTTACATTTACTGCAATGAAAAGGGGGAAATAACAAACAGCGATCTATCTAAAGAAATCCACAATACAAATCTATGAACAGAGCGTAAAATACAGACCTTTTAATATTCAACAGGTAGGAGCAGGAGCTTCGGAGGAGTAAACATTCCCAATCAACCGACCACATCAACCGAGCTGTGAGCCCTACATGCATGTATTTTAAAGTAGTTTGGCAGATGCATCCCGTAGTCAATTTCGTATAAAATCAAAGGCAAAACTATACAGTATATAAGAATGAAACACTTCAACCCAAATACGACCCTGTGATAAGTTTCCAAGGTATCTTTGTTAGCAAGGCCATTATCATAACGACCATGATTAGAAAATACGTAATGATGACATGAAAAGAATCGTTGAAATCACTGTAATTTTTATATATCGGTATTTAACAGTATGTCTGATTTAGCAACAAAAAATGTTTTCCTTCTCATGTAGAAGTCAGAACATTCTAAATTCTATGGTTGTTATACGAATTGTAATGGATTTGTTAACAAATATTGCCTTTATCATTGGGTCGTATTTTGCCTGACTTGCTTCATACAAATAGCAAACTCTTTGTTTTAATACTGAAGTACGGAATGTTCTGTCTACCTTAACAATAAAAATGGCTCATAATGGGTGTGACTTGTCAACAGGGGATGCTTACTCCTCTTAGGTATCTCATTCAACCTCTGGAATTCTCAGGGGTCCGTGTTTATTTTGTTGATTTGGTCCCAAATTTAACACACCTTGAAAAAATTAAATTTCTTTTCAAAGTGCGTTAATATCGACCATATATTAACGCACTTTGAAAATTTTCTGGCTTGGTCAATATTCTTGCAAATCTTAGGTATGATAAATAATTGAACCTATTGGAAAATTTTTCGGTGATAAGGTCACTTCAGGACGTCAAAGTGAGCGATTTAGGTTTTTTTTATACTTTGAAAATTCTTTCTTTCTTGAATATTTTACTGTACTTATTTTTTCCTGTTTGCTTGTATTCTACAATGCAGTGCATTGAAGTGGTAAAATTTTCCGTTCGAATAGAACATTTTGACCTATCTTTATAACGTTGAATGTCATATGATGACACGCCTAATTTTTTTTTAGAAATGGATAAAAGGGTCCAATTGTTAATTCGAATACCTGTAGAACAGGTTTTCCATAAATATAATAGCCAATCAAATTGACGGTCTAAATAAACACCGAGTAAACACGTGTTCATCGGAAACCTGCTGTGGTAACTCCAATAGACATGATAAATTTTCAAAAAATTGTACATATTTGTTGCAATTTGTATTTTACAGAAGTGAGGAGTCTCTAACGCTCTCTCTCTCTTCTAATTTTTCTAAAGCTCCATTTTAGTGCACCTCATGTTGCTAGTCACAAAAATGGGGGTGTCCTTAAGTATCACGACGAACATTTCAAAGAAATAGTAACAATAGACGTCTGATAAGAACACCCAAACTTTCCATCCAAACAAAAAAATTTACCCCTTCAACACCCTTCATTGTCAAATAAGTTAACTACAGTTGTTACACGTCATTTGAATGGTTAAACGGTTTTATCCATTTTGTATAACATAACTTGCCAACGTCACAATGAGTTACGTCAAAAACGTATTACAATGGAAAAATTGTATCATTGTCTACATTGAAATTAAATTATAAGGAATGAATCTTATTTCAACTTATGTTTTACGATATAATATAACTTGGGACAGTTTACGCTTTTTTATAAACAGCTTCGCGGTTTATAAAGCGTAAACTGCCCCAAGTTATATCGTATATCGTATAACAAAAGTTGAAATAACTTTCATTCCTTAAATAAAAATTATTAAAAGTTTTCAACGTCATAGTATTTCTGCAAATGCACATCAGTATATGTTTGTGTTTGGGTGAAGCATAGGCAATGAGGGGGGGGGGGGGGGGCTTACGCACATAAATGTTTTGCAAAGATATACGGAATATATGCATTGAAAATTGGGGATAACCTTTAAGGGGGGGGGGGGTCCACTTTCAATTTGCTACCGACGGCTATACAATAATGTATATGGAAAAAAGAGTTGGGTTGAGAGACCTTAACGTTCTACTCGTTTTCTCCTTGTTCTCAATGAGGGTAAATCAATACATGAAAATTAAATTTTTTTCGAAAGTTATAATTATTACAAATTGATTCTCCCGATAACTTAATTCTATGTCTAGAATTTTTGTTTTATTCATATTTTTTTCAAAGTGCGTAAAATTGGCAAAAATGTTGATGAACACTTTTAACGCACAAAAAAAGTTCAAAGTGCGTTGAGTGTGTCCCAAATTTAACGCACTTTGAAAAAAAAAATTCAAAGTACTTTGATTTTGCTCCGATTTTAACGCACTTTGAAAAAAAAAATCAAAATGCGAAATTTTTTCAAAGAGCGTTGCCACAATGCTCGTCGAAAATAATTTTCAAAACTATCGTGATGGTCTCTTTACTATGGAATGATTGGCTACTCGGTGGCGACTTTTCTTTCAATGGTCGTTAAGAATATGGTTAGAAAACAATTTATATCTACTACAATGAAAAGGGGGGAGGGGTAACAAACAGCGATCGGTCAAAAGAAATCCACAATACAAATCTATGATTTAACATAGTGTAAAATACAAACCTTCTACTATTCATCAGGTAGGAGTAGGAGCTTTGGAGGAGTAAACATCCCCAAACAACCGACCACATCAACTGTGAGCCCTGGACATACATGTATTAAGTAAATTGACGGATACATCCCGTAGTCAATTTAGTATAAAAACAAAGCCATAATTATAAATTATATAAGAATAAAAAATTTCAACCAAAACCTGACCATGTGATAAGTTATCTTTGTAAGCAAGGCCATTATCATAACGACGATGATAGAAAATATGTAATGTTGACATGAAAAGAATCGTTGAAATCACTTTTGATTCCGAATAATTTTGATATACCGATTTTTCATAGTATGTCTGAATTTAGCCACAAAAAATGTTTTTTCTTCTCATGTAGAAGTCAGCATGTTGTAAATTCTATGGTCGTTATACAAATTGTGGTGAAATTGTTAACAAATATTGCCTTTATCATTGGGTCGTATTTTGCTTAACTTGCTTCATACAAATAGCAAACTCTTTGTTTTAATACTGAAGTACGGAATGTTCTGTCTACCTTAACAATAAAAATGGCTCATAATGGGTGTGACTTGTCAACAGGGGATGCTTACTCCTCTTAGGTATCTCATTCAACCTCTGGAATTCTCAGGGGTCCGTGTTTCGTTTTGAGAACAATTTTTTTTTTATCGAATACTTATTTTTATCTTCAACCTTTTCAGGCATACTTTAAAGAAATTAATTAATTAATATGACAGAAGATTTTATTCGACTTGTCTCTTCTGTGTCAGGAAATTGGGATTCAGGTCTGAGTCAAATTCCTGACCATTTAATCAAAACAAAAAGACTAAACCTTGTGAACGCTTATGTCTGTTTTCTTACTCCAAGGTGTCGAAATGATATGTTATTGGAGGAAACAACATCTTAAGTGACCTAACTGAGTAGTTTAAGACAAAGTTCAGGATGTCGTTTCTTATCAGTGAATGAACGGCATTTCATTTTGATAACCTCTTGCAGCAGATTTTGATCTATTTCCAGAGCGCCCAGTAAAAACTAATGAAGAAGCCAAACACATGCACATAAAATCATGATAAATACAGTGTATATACAATGAAGACCATATACAATATCTTAATCAATATGATTATGCAATGCCTGACATGTGTTTCAAAATTAACACGTTTTTTGTCAATTCTTGATATGAGATCTTCCATTTACTTTATTTTAAATATTGCACTTTTCAAATTCAGGTGAATACTTCATCTTTTTATTGAATTTTTATTTTCTTGCTTTTCGGTTTGGAAAAATCAGAAAGAAAGTCATTCAAAAGTATTTCAATCTAACTAACAGGCTTATGTTTGGGTTTCCCAGTTTTATGAAAAGATAAAGACCACCTTGGTTTCTTTTTTTTTTATTGCGCAATTTTCCTTGAAAAATTATCTGATTTGAAACAGTAACATTCTAGGTGGAAACGTTCTGTAATGTTCATGTGCCATATGTATGTTTTCTGTTTAGAGCATGTGTAACCTAAACAGAACATTTTTGTTCTGCAGTAAGGCAACACATGTCCCAGTTCTTAGTTCATCAATCACTCATATCGATCTAAATAAGCTATTGATTGCTGTACAATGACCTGATTGTGTGGCTGAAATCATTATCTGCAATTATCTTGCAAACCTGCTGGAAGCAAATTCAGATGGGGAAGGAGGTGTAGACGTACTTATCCAGGGGACTTATCAGTTAAATAGCTTTGTTTTCTAAAACATATACTGTATATTACAAAGATATGTGGAAAACGGTCCCAAGTACTCCCATTTCCTATGGGGCCATGGTTTTTGTGCTTAAGTTGACAGAGTGAAAAGAATATAATTACTTTTTTTTTAATATGTTCCATGAAAATAATTTGATACAGGCAAACAAATTAACTAGAATTCTGTTGAAGCACAATCAAGTCTCATGCATTCCCAATCGATGATAATTAATTAAGCTATCAAGATAAATATTGACAATTAATTATTACTTGGTCATGCTTTCAGAAGAATCTGAGGCTTTCGTATAATACATCAGAGAATATTTGATTCAATTGTACACATACGTTCAATAATTGTTTTGTATATAGTGATTGGCGATTCATGACATTTTTACCATCATCGCGTACACAACAACCAATAAGATGTATACCCCAAAGGAGACACAGAAACATGCAGTGTCAAAATTTTGTCTAATTCGCTCCCAAGTCATCGGAGATTGTTCCTGATTTGGGATTTCGTCATTTGAAATTCTCCCATTGGCCAGTTGTTCTTGATCTCTTCTAAATATTCTAGATCTAAGACCCGAAAGTCTTGTTATGCGACTCACAAACTTTGGCATTTGTTCATTTTCCTTCTTAAAGAAAATCCGAAGTCCGACAATAACGAGTATCAATATAATTCCACTCTCAATCATCATAATCATCAGTATGTAACATAATATGGGAACAGGATCTGAATTTTTGGGGAGTGTTGCACTGAAAATTGTCATAAAAACAGCAAACGAGAGTAAAACTGTCATGGCGAAGGAAACGCGTTCACCAGACTCTGGAGGAATTAAGAACACACAAGCATTTAAGATACCCAGACAAATGATTGGTACACAGGTATTTAGAATCGAAAACTCTGACCGCCTTCTGACAACAATCTCAAAAACACAAGACGAATAGGCGGCAAAATAGGAGGAATATGCCTTCATGCTATGTATGTCCCACTCTCCATGTTTCTCATAAATTGCAGACCTAATTCCTGTTTCCATTCTAAGCTCGTTTCCAATTCGATCAATGGTTAAAAATTTAGCGTAACATGTATGTTCATCAAAGGGGTAAAATCTCACGTTTGGTCGACATGTAACGCTTACGGTTCCTCCCTTGATCCAAATGACTTGACCATTTGCGTAAAGTCTTATTGGGAAAGAATCATCCGGGAACACTGGAATTCTGTCTATTGGATTGGCCAGCGTGATAACCGGCGTCCACACGTGATCTTCCGGTACGACCAAATGCGACACATTGCCATACTTTAAAGGGTTCCATTTTAAAAATCCGTCAATCCAACGCACATCTAGACCCATTGCTATAGATAACTGTCCGTTCACCTCATTAAATTGGCTGATTCCCCGTGGAAGAAATGTTATCTTCAATGCCAGGGTATCATTGTCGTTAATGGTCGGAATGATGACTTTGTTGTAAGACGTGTTTTTGAATAAATAGTTGTATATTTGTGGACTGTATTTTTCTCCATTAACAAACACAAAAGTCAACAAAAGTAAAATTAAACGATCCATCACCAGCAACGTCAAGTCCAACGAGCTTTTATCAATCGCTGTGCATGTCTGCTTTATAACATTGGATGAAAAAAGATACGCTTGATAAAAAAATCAAATGGGGAAAACCAAACAGGGATAGTGGCATCAGAAACGTTCACGCAAAACACTAAATGCTTATGAGCTGTCATATTTATTTTACCCTACATGAAACACATCATTAGTTTTATCTCTCACAAGAAATTTTGAAAATAGCCAAACCAGAATTTCCTGGAATATTTCGTAATTCTCGCTGCGTCTCATACTTTGCTGGGGTTAAAATTTCACAGCTATCTCCACTTTATCTGCAGGTGCACCATTTTAAAGACAGACAATTGCAGATAAAACTCATCTGTGATGGATTCCAATCAAATCAAGCACGGTGTATCAATTTCTGTTGTCTACACGATTCTCGCAGCATGAAACTTAATATCTGAATTCGTTATTGTCTTACATAATCATATTTGATAAAGGGGGTAAAAAGCAAGACATTTAGTGAATATCTTATGCGTCATAATAAATTATTACTTCTTATAGCATACTGGAAACCAATACTGGAAGCATATGCAGGTATCGCTATTTTCCCATTTTTATAGTATCTTAATAAATACCAGTCAGTCTTTCTCTTGCATCTGTCTCAAAGTTATGATTATCTAGAATAAAAACGATTCCGAACGATATTAACAACTAAATGTATTATATTCAACTAATAAATACTAAGTACCTATGAAGAAACAATGGAACTTATCAATTATTTTAGTATTAAGAGCCCTTAAAAAATTACTGTAAAGCTTTGATATTGGTATTGTGAATGGAGACATAAATTGATAAAACATCTTTTCCCTCGTCAATATCTATTTTTATTAGTTAATCATGACAACCTCCTGTCAACAAACGTAGGTAAAGTTCTTTCTCACGATAAATTTTGTAAGATCTATATCTAAGTTTCCAAATCACACCACTGATACTAAACATCTCAAAGATAGCATTCCATCTGAATACATTCCACTTCTTGGCCTCATCTTTGAAATGGATGACACTTTCAAGATAAGTGTTAATCGCAGGTTCTGGAATTTTTTGCAAAAGATTTTTCATTTTAAAGAAGGTTATTTCATTTGATACCTCTTTATGAACTTATAATCCTACCCAGGGCTGGGATCCGGCCTTTATCTGAAAGAACTTTATTACAAGTAACAAGGTAACAATCTAGTGAAAATTACAATTTGAGATATAGCGCGTTGTATATTCCCTATATATTATAAATGGTGATATTGTTCTTGGTCCATCGTATTTTGTTTTAATGGATGTTACATAATGATCGACAAGAAAATTATTCACAACTCGATATATTTTCTTCTTTACTTGTCGATATCTCTGTAGTTCTAATGACTCAGTTTCAAAAACAAAAATCTGAAGTTTGAAAACAGAAGAACTACTCAACAGTTACATACAGTTTGAGCAACGGCTTTTTGTACTAAAGCAAGATATAACACTACCTATACAAACAATAACCTATCCGTATTACAGATCACAGTTTTTTTTTATTCTTTTAAAATAAGTTTCATAAAATAGAATTTTTATTTTAAACCCATTGCATCTTATGCTAGTTGGTTCTTTTTGTAGGGTACCCGTAACACAAATAAGGTCCAGTTTTGTCGATCCGCCCCATTATAGCAAAAACCATTTGCACCAAATACGAGTATCTTCCTTTTAATAGAAAATAAGCTAGAGGCACTCTGAGCACTGAGCTCACTAAACGAAACCTCCCGCCTCCCAGATAATTATAATGGCCCATGTCCGTAAGTCCATGCTTTGCTCTGGGAGACCCGAAATAAATGTCGGATCAAAATGTTAAACAGGAGGTCACAATGGCATTATGTAATAAAGAATCTGTGAAGACATCATTAAATTTTATTCATCGATATAGGAGTAGTTGCGGTTAAGAGATGAGTACCCTTCAATATTATAGAAAAAATGGCGATGTCTATGTTTCGCTATAGGAAACCCTAAATATGTGTCCGATCAAAATGAGGTCACAATGGCACTATGTTACAAAGGATCTGTGAAAGCTTCTAATTTCATTCAGTGGTATAAGAGGAGTTGTGGATAAGAGATGAGTACCTCAAAGCGTAAAAGACGGAGGGACGGACATACCGATCACTATATACCCTTACTCTTTTCCAGCGGGGGTATAAAAACAAGATGTATTTTAAAAGGCTGTTGCCTTATACAGCAGCTCGAGCAAGATTAAAGGTTTTGAAATGTATGTCAAACTCCAACGTCAAGAGTGAAAAAATGTCTTGAGAAAAAGGTCATACTCTAATTATAAGGTCACTGACATGAGAACAAAAAATAATAGTAAAAAAAGGAAGATCTTGTCACAGGTAATGCATAAGTGAAATATGAAAGGCCTAGCAGCAATAACTCCAAAACCATAGGCAAAGTTAAAGCTTTCTTTTAAATACAGTCTAATTGTACGGTCATGAAGTCAAAAATGTTGGTACCCAAAATATAGGTCTTGTCACTAAAAATGAACTTGCGATATTTAAAAGTTATGACCAAAGTTAAAAGTTTTTTCAAAAGTAGGTCACACTCAAAGCTCATGTTGAAAAGATAAAAATTGTGGTACCCTAGGGCTCACGGAATTACAGTATTGAATATGCAGGTTATACTAAGTATATAAAAGTCCTAGATCCAATCGTTCAAAAGTTATGTACAAATGTAGTTTTTGACAAAATTAGATGAAATTCCCAGTAAAAGGTCAAAAGGACATATTCATTTGTACCCAAAAGAAAGATCTTGTCACAAGAAATACAGATGTGGAATGTTAACTATCTTTACAAATTGTACCAAATTAAACGTTATGGACAAGGTTGAGCCATTTTTTCCATGGGGAAATATGCTCTAGAGATAAATTTCCGGAGGGAAATTCTACTCTTGAGCCTGTTTTCCTTGAATAAGGTTTTCTCTCTTTGTCTGTACTTATCAATTCACACAATGTGCGTTAACCAAACTATCCCAAGTAAAATGTGTGTAAAACAAGAGGTACTGTGAACACTGAGCTCTCTATATGATATCCCCACCTCCCAGATGATTATAGTGGCAAATTTTATGTTTTGCTCTGGGAGACCCAAAATAAGTGCAAGATCAAAAAGTAAAACATAGGTGCACAATCGCATTGAGTAATAAAGAATTTATAAAACTGTCATATTTTATTCAGTGGTATAAGGAGAGTTGCTGAAAAGAGATGGGTACCCTTTAAATTTATAGACGAATGACAGTGTCAATGGTTTGCTGATTTATACACAATTTGCTATTGCATGTTAATTTTTCTCAAAAACTTACATTCCATATACTCCCCGCTTGAAAAGAAGAACTGTAGATAGTCATCTGGATGTCCGTCTGTCTCTACTCCGTCCGTCTAGCTGTCTGTACGTCCATCTGTATGTTTGGGGCTACCCATCTCTTATCCGCAACTTATATACTACTGAATGAAATTAAATGAGACTTTAACAGAATCGTTTAGATCCGACATATATTTTTGGTTTCCCATAGCAAAACATGGACACTGCCATTCGTTCTATAATATTAAAGGGTACCCACCTCTTATCAGCTACTCCTCTTATATCACTGTATGAAATTGAATAAACCTTTTATAGAATCTTTGTTGTATATTGCCATTGTGCAGCTCCTATTTTACTTTTTGATCGTTTACATATTTCGGATTTCCCTTAGCAAAACTTAGACACTGCCATTTTTTCTATATTATTGAAGGGTACCCATCTCTTATCCGCAATACCTCCTTCACCACTGAATAAAACCCTTTGATGATACTTTTATAATTTTTTTTTTACTTGATGCCATTGTGCACCTTTTTTTTTTTTTTTACTTTTTGATTGATAACTTATTTTTGGTTTCCCGTATCTAGAGAAAAACATAGATTTTGCCACTATAATCATATGGGCGGTGGCTCATTTAGTGAACTCAGTGCTCACAGTATCTCTAGTTAATCTTATTATGCAATATTTTAGACAATTGCAATATCTGCACATGCACGGGTGTAAATATTTTTTAACTTTCACATGGCTAACACCAGGAGAAAATTAATACTCATAGATGTATATTTAAAAGTTTATTTTCACCTAGTGACTAGATGTAAATTTTACACAAGAACAATAAGTTCAACAAGGAGCACTAGCCTTCTGCTATGTCAGTAATTAGGTCTAAATATGAGCAGTTTAGCAGTAGTAGCAGTTTAATAAAAATGTCGCGGAGAACGGAATTCGCGTGGACAGAGGTTTCCTATACGAAAGCCGGATAGGTTCATTTCTGAGAAGATAAAAAAAATTGTAACGTTATAACGAGTTAGTATCTCCTTATAACGAGTTAATTATCTCCTTATAACGAGTTAATTATCTCGTTATAACGAGTTAGTTATCTCGTTATAACGAGTTAGTTATCTCGTTATAACGAGTTAATTATCTCGTTATAACGAGTTAGTATCACGTTATAATGACTTAGTTATCTCGTTATAACGAGTTAGTTTTCTCGTTATAACGAGTTAGTATCTCGTTATAACGAGTTAATTATCTCGTTATAACGAGTTAGTTATCTCGTTATAACGAATTAATTATCTCGTTATAATGAGTTTATATCTCGTTATAACGATTTAGTTATCTCGTTATAACGACTTAGTTTTCTCGTTATAACGAGTTAATTATCTCGTCATAACGAGTTAATTTTTCTCGTTATAACGAGTTAAACACTGGTCTTAAGTTGATATATTTAAATGATAGGAAGTATAGCATATAAAACCGAGTCGATCAAGTTTGTTTAAAGTGTGTATGATAAAGATTTTGTTGAAAAACAACAAACTAGTATTTTTTGTTTTTCGAGGGGTTGTGCCTTTGATTGTAGTTCGTTTATGTATAAACGATGCAGTTGTTTTGTATTGTTCACTTAAAAGACCGAAGACAAATACATGTATACGGAAACTTATGACTGCCTCGAATTTTACGCCCATGACCTAACTGCTGATGTTTCCATATCCCCCTTCCTCAAAACATTTTTGTGTATATAATATATGTTGCATTAATGCCTGCGTTAGGCTGCTATTATAATGTATTAATTTAGATTCTTAGACATTGATTATGAAAGCTAATAAATCATCCAAAACATATTTTAAAAAATGTCTTTTATCGGAGAAAGTTGTCATACCATAAATTGCCAAACTTTGAAGCAAGTACATTTGGCAATATATTTTTTTTAATATTATGTCCTTGGACACGTTCACGTATAAATGTGTAAATGTGTTCAAATAAAGATTGCTATACTTATCAACCTGTGATTATTGACAGCCAGATAGTTCAGAATTAATATTATTTAAACCATATCACAAATTAAATTTGCAACTATATATCAATTTTAAAGTTACGCACGACTGATAATTATAAACTAAACATCAATGGCATTGAAAATACAGCCATTTTTAATTCCTATATTGCTATTAAATTTGGAAATAAAGGGGAAACTTATCATTTCGTTATAACGAGATAATTATCTCGTTATAACGAGATAACTAACTCGTTATAACGAGTTAATTAACTCGTTATAACGAGATAATTAACTCGTTATAACGAAATAACTAACTCGTTATAACGAGATAGTTAACTTGTTATAACGAGAAAATTAATTCGTTATAACGAGATAACTAAATCGTTATAACGAGATAACTAATTCGTTATAACGAGTCATTTATCTCGCTATAACGAGATAATTAACTCGTTATAGCGAGATAATTAATCCGTTATAACGAGATAACTAAATCGTTATAACGAGATAACTAATTCGTTAAAACGAGTTATTTATCTCGTTATAACGAGGTAATTAACTCGTAATAACGAGATAATTGACTCGTTATAACGAGATAATTAACTCGTTATAACGAGATAATTAACTCGTTATAACAAAATAACTAACTCGTTATAACGAGATACTAACTCGTTATATCGAGATAAGTAAATTCGTAATAACGAGATAAAACTACGTCGTTATAACGAGATAATTAAGTCGTTATAACGAGATACTAACTCGTTATAACGAGACAACTAACTCGTTATAACGAGATACTAACTCGTTATAACGAGATAATTAACTCGTTATAACGAGTTAAATATTTTTTTATCTTTTCAGAAATGAGCCTATCCGGCTTTCGTATTCCTAGTACATAAGGAAAGGATTTAAAGAAAATTAGAAAAGCTTATATAAAAACAAAATCTGGGTATTTACAGAATGTATATAATTATCGAAATTGCCAACTTAATCATTTACACAGTTTGCTAGTAGATTTTTTAATCTCATCTTTAAAAATACTTTTGTACACAAGGATAAAAAAGTACATATGCATGTATGAAAAATATTATTTACACCTGCATTTGGGTAATTTTTTTTTATTTTTTATTTTTAGAACTCTCAATAAGAATTTTAAAAAATATACTGTTTATCTTTCAAAATTTACATAAGTTATTAGAATACAGAGAGGAAAAATATCATAACAGTTGATGATTCATTCACTAATCTGCAGTCACGGAATTTAATTATTTTAGAGAGAATTACTAGTAAATGATGTAATTCCGTATTTATTCCATGTATTACTTACAAAAATTACAAAAATGGTATTATTTTGGATAAAGTCAATAACAAGGCATTATCACTAGTATTCTAATGCTGATATAATTAAAAGAATTAAATGTAGATATTTATCTTTGGAAACAGGATGAAAAAAGCCAGAGCTTTCAATTATATAATCAGAGGCGTCGTTCGTGTACTTTCTGTAAACACAGACACAGTTTACATGAATTAGATTTAGTTCTATGGTTTATCGTATGCGTTATTAGGCCATTCCAAGTTTTTTCTCTGTTTAGCGTCCACCCATCTGTCAAAAACCTACCTAACTATTAGCAAGAAACACACAAGCCAAAACATAAAACACAGGCTTAAAAAGTCATAAAAATGACGCCGTTCAAATGATTAGATCTAACTTATCTGCTTTAATAGAAGAAACCCTTGCTTTTGCTTAAGAATAGATATTTAATATCTATTCTTAAGCAAAAACAAGGGATTAAATGCTTAAAATACACCCAATATAACTTATTGTACAGAATTATTTCGAGAAATTGACAAAATTAAAAAAAAATTCGACTAAATTAATCAATTTCAGGACTCCTGATCTTGTGTGTTTTTTCTTATATAGGGTGTCAAAAACCAAGGCGCTCGCGGACGCTAAACATAAAAAAACTTGGAATGGCCTTAAGTCTACGAGTGTTAACTTAAGGAACTCCGTCTGGCTAGTTCATAATCGAGATGAGAACCTATCAAGTAGATTCCGTGTCCCGAATTATTGTAATCTTTCTGTTAATATGTTTGTACGCTAGAGCTTCACCTGATGCTAAAATACTCATAAATGAGTTGTTTCATGGCTACGAAAACTTGATTATGCCAGTAAACCATCACGACGAAGTCATGAATGTAACTGTGAGATTTATACCAAGGAGGATAACTGAGTTTAACGAAGTGACGAGTCAGATTTCCATAGCAATGGGCGTAGATGTTCGATGGACAGATACATACTTACAATGGAATCCAAATAAATATGGCAATGTGACTAATCTTGTTGTTCCTGAGGAAAAAGTGTGGACCCCCGACATCTCTCTAGCTAACCCGACAGACCGCATTCCTATTTTTCCTGAGGACTTGTTTTCTGTCAGAATCTATTTTAATGGTCGAGCAATTTGGCTTAAAGGAGGAACTGTTAGAAGCACATGTAAACCAAACTTAAGATATTACCCATTTGATGTACACACGTGTTTTGTGAAGTTCATAACCCTCGACCATGTGTACAAAGAAATTAAACTTATAGCTGAATTAAAACTAAACGTTTATGCTAATTTTGGAGAGTGGGATATTATTGATAATTTGGTATATTCTGAGCCTTTTGATTTGTTTTCATGTGCTGTCTATAAATTCAAAATCAAGAGGCGTCCCGAGTTCTCGATTTTAAGTATATGCATACCGATTCTGTGTTTAGGGTTGCTGAATGCTTGTGCATTTCTGATACCTCCAGAATGTGGGGAGCGGATCTCATTCGCCATCACGGTCCTCCTTTCCTTTGCGGTTTTCATGACAATTGTGAGTGCAACGATGCCGAAAAATACCGCCCCTGTTCCGATACTGTGTTACATCCTCATGCTGATGCTGTTGGAGAGCGGGGTAATTGTGGTGGTGTCCATTTTAGGACTTCGTCTATACTACAAGCCTGGCCACTTACAACCCCCAGACTGGCTGAAAAGGATCGTGAAAACTCTTAATGGTTCTAAAAGAAGAAGCGCGCCCCCTTCGTCATCATATGTGGAAGTTATTGACAACAACCAAACGTTATCTGTTCAAGAGAACATTGATTATGAACATATAAAATGGATTGATGTGGGACATGTTTTTGACTATTTTTGCTTTACTGTATCGTTCTTTGCATTTAGCGTAACTGTCTTTGTATATGCAATCATTGTTATGGCTAACTAGTTAGTTTATGCTATTTCATAAAATACTTTTTATGCAACTCAATCAAAGATTCGGAAGTACAATATAGTTTTGTCATGTCCATTCATCTGTCTACGCTGTCTGTTTGTCTGCTTGTCCGCAGAATCTTCAACCTTTCATATAACTTTTGATTGGTTGCAGATGTGGCTTTCATATTTCACAGTAGAGTTTGGCCCACTTTTGAAAAAGTTTATAATTACCAGACTTTAACCTTTGACTCATAACTTTTGAACAATTGGTGCTAGGGCTTTTATATTTTCATGTGTATAAACTGTTATAAGTCCTTTTCATGAATATAAATATTTTTGACATTTGACCGAGTGCCTTTAGGTCACTTGGAAAAAAAATTACGCTTCATATAACTTTTAATATTCATGGATTAATATTTCACATGTGTTTTCTTGTGGCAAGGCTTTCCTTTGGCTCTAACATATTTGACCTCTTTAGATTGACTTTGGAGTTTGGTCCACTTATGCAAAAAACTTTAATTTTTGGTTATAACTTTTGAACAGTTTATGCTAAGGTTTTTATACTTCACAGGTTTATGAATAGTCACAAGTCCTTTCCATGGAAATAAATATTTTTTACCTTGACTTTTGAGTTTGTCCCACTTATTAAAAAACTTTATTCTTGGCTTTAACTTTTGAAGAGCTAGTACTAAGACCTTCATATTTCTAAGGAAAAATTCTTATGTCAAGACTTTCAATTTGGATTATCCACTGCATATAAAAAAAATTGACCTTGAACTAAGAGTTTGGCCTTTTTTTGGAAAAACAACTCTTTTCATGATTTTTTAATACAAATGTAGTTTGTATAGGGCTTTCACATGTGCATTTCTCATGACAAGGCCTTCCACTGGGTACCTTTAATTTGACCTCTTGACCTTGGAGTTTGATCTTCATATAAAGACTTTAACCTTGGCCATATCTTTTGAACGGTAGCTGATTGGGTTTTTATATTTCACAGGTATATTATAGTTTACAGCTAAGTGTAAAGTTTCACGTTAGGTCACGATCTAGTTGACAGCTGCGCTCAAGGTAAATTGTACACGCCTCCTAACCGCAAGCTTTACGACTGGAACTTTCTTCTTATCCCTGATTGGTTGCTAGTGCAACAGACTATTTCCGTGTCAATGATGATAATCTAAATTGACCAATCGCGTGATTTGTTTCCGCTGGATGCATCTGACTAAAAGGATCGTGACGTAACGTAAAACTTTACACTTAACTGCAAACTATAATATTCACTGAGACAAGTCCTTTCTTTGTGAAACAATAATCATATCTCTTGACCTTGGAGTTTGACTTGTATTTGAAAAAAATTTAACCTTCGCCAAAAGCTGTCATACGTAGGCATCAGTATTTCACAAATACATCTTGTTTGTGTCATGTTATGATTTTACATAAAAATAATAATCCTATAATTTTTCATATGTAAAATTTTAAGTGTACGGCAATGCCCTTTCATATTTGAATTGATAAATTTTAGTCTCTTTATCTGAACAACCAAATTGCAATGTGACTACTATCATTACACGTATTTATGAAAATCTACATTTAAAACATTCCATATACATAAAGTGTTAATTTCTGGAGGAAAGAAAATTTGAATTCATCAAACCGACAATCAATTATGTTCAGATACATGTGTATATAAATATCCATAGTATACATTGTTTTTGTGTTTATTATTCGTACGATTGATAGAACCCACATTTTCCTCCTGCAATAGTGTTATACTGTAAATAAAACTGTATTTTCGCTTCTTCTGTTTATAAATTTCCCTTTCCATCAGGAGATAAAAACCGAGATAGTGTGGCTACAGGTTCACCAAATAGTCAGTGAGCGAATAACAGGGTCTGAATTAACGTTTTCCAAAGCTAAACATAATGATTTGTCTTAAAGCTCTTGTCACTTTGTGGATTTACATTAAAGTGTCAAAGTCGGAATATTCTACTGTCGATGAGCTTTATCTACGACAAACTGCCAATTTACAGGACGTTTTGCTCAAAGGAAAGGATGAAAGTTCAAGTTACAGAAAAAACGTTCCGCCTTCAATAATGGTAACCATTGGACTTTATTTTGAATTGTTGAGCCTCAATGAATTTGATGAGATTCGAGGTCGATTTGAATGTAACGGTATGCTTCGATTAAATTATCCTGGGATCCACTGAAGTTTAATAACACGATGCTGACACCGTTTACGTCATCAGAAGTGTGGAAGCCCCAAATATCACTTTTGAATACTTTCTCGAAATTCATCATCATCAATGACAGAAAGGAAGAATTTGTCATTTGGTACACAAATGACGGAACTGCTAATCTGCTTATCGCTGGAGTGTTTGACGTGACGTGTGATCCGAACGTAAAATACTTCCCATTCGATTTCCATGAATGTGTTCTTCTATTCATTCCATTTGAAAATTTTCTCTTTCCGGAGTATGCCTCGCCATTTACGATAGTTATCATGGAGGACCCCATCATCAAAGACAACTTTGAGGAAAGAGATGACGACGGAAAATGGACCTACCGGACAAAGAAACCGTGCATAGTCAAAATACCAAACCGGGAACTGTATGCTGTGGCATTTCCTGTCACAATACATCGACGATCAACCTTTGCCCTCGTCAATATCATTCTTCCAGTGATGATGCTTGGGTTTCTTAACCTAACCGTTTTCTTCCAGCCCGTCCAGGCAGGGGAAAGAGTTTCTTTCTCAATAACAGTCCTCCTGTCTTTCACAGTATTTATGGTTTATATAGGGGAGATAATTCCTGAAACTTCAAACCCAATGCCGTTGCTAAGTTACGTACTTGTTTTTAAACTGGGATGTAGCACCTGTATAGTAATAGCCGTTACTATAGTGACGCGTCTTTTCCACAGAGAGAAAAGAAAGGTGTCGCCATGTGTACAGAAAATTGTGTCTAAGTTTTTGAATATGGGTTCATCTTTTTCTTGCCAAAAAAGAGATGGGGATTTGTCAAACATAACAGACAGACAAAATGCCTCATGTGACGATGACCGTGAAAGTTGTGACGTGACACAAAGTCTCGAGGAACCAAAAGACGATTGGGGCAGAATGTGTTTGGCTCTAGACAAGCTCTTTTTCTTATTCTTCCTTATCCTTCTGTTAATGGAATCCGTCTCTTACGTCATAGCTTATCTTGTGTTGTCAGGAATGAGAATAGACAAAGATATGACCTCACAGACGTGTACCAGTGGAATTGAATGATTTGTAGTAAATGTATTCTTTGGGTGCTTCATACAATCATGCACAGTACATTTAGAATGTTTTACCTTCAACCAGGAACACAAACTTTTGAAAATTTTATTTGTTTAAGCAATTCTTAAAATGACGCTGAATTTAATAATGATCCAAAGATAGAATGAGGTCTTTGAAATCTTCTAAATACATGTACATGTACAAGGAGCTTCCTAAAAATGACATAATTAAACAATCTGAAAGACATCCCCAATGCTTGTCCTATGTACCAATGCTTAGTCTTTCTGCAATGAAACTGACTTCGAAGTTTTCTGTAATAATTTGCAATGATATACTATATATATTTTATTTACACAAAATTCTAAGGCCATAGAGGAAGCAAAACAAAATCATACATTCTTCAGATGCCTGAAAATCTATATATTTTTTAAATGATTTTTTAACAATTGAAAAATACACATGATATAGTAATCTACATCCCTACATTATATTTAGGGTGAGTTAAATGCAGCACTTCAATAGAATCTGCGTACGTACATGTATACATTGTATATGTAGTCACAGGACACGTCAATTAATTTTTAAATAAAATCAAGATGCTTGAAGAAGTGTTGTTCTACCTAACAAGTTTATATGCTACATTTATGATTTAAATATAAGGGTAACACCAAACAGTTAAAATATGTACAATCAGAATAAATTTGCGTTAACTATCACTTCTCACATTTACGCATTTGTCTCGACACTGGTTATATTTTTTCCCTCAGCGTTTGCAGCACTAGGAAATATAAATAAAGGCCTATGAATTATATTTGTCACTTTGCAAAATTCTTTTTGTATTGTTTAGATGAAAATTATACTTTCGTAAAACATAATTCAACAGTAATGTGTGCAGAAATGAAGTCTAGATCAACATTCCCCAATCTGAAATTATTAAAGTAATTGTTCATAAATGTACAATAATTGATCAATCTTTAGTCTGAAATTATGTGATGATAAAAATGATTCTATAGGATTAAACGTTCTTTTTTCAGAATTTATCGATGTGTAAACTCTGCCTTTTTACTCACAAACTGAATAAAAGTGAAGCACTTTTATGTTAAGTTTGTGAGTAAAAAGGCAGAGTTTACACATGAAAAAAGAACGTTTAATTCTTATAATTCAATATTACGAATTTTTTTAATTGTTAAAATTATTTCTCTTTGAGGCCGCCATACAATCCGTTATTTTGTACGGCGTAGGAATACTTTATGCCGCAAAGAAACGTATACAAGATGAATATTGATAAAATCCAACTTTATTTGTCAAAACAATCTATAAATTAAACTTATAAAAACTCATTGAATGTTGTTTTCAACAAATATCGTGAATACGCGAATAATTCTCCAAAATAATTCGTCCTTGACTTCGCCATTTGACGTCATGACGAAAGTTGAACCGTCGACGTTCGATTTGCTCTGGTTCGTTCAAAGATTTAGGGAAATATGGGATCTGTAGGATGTAAATATATGATTTGATGCTGAAAAGGCAAGAGTCTGAGGTACGTTTCTTTTCCCTATCACATTACGATACCAACTGAGTTGATATGGAACGTCGAGAAAATGACAGCGTGATCAGCGATTTCAAAATATTTCACACTCGTGATCTGACAATGACATAAACATAATATTACCGTCTGTCAGTCCTGTTTATCTCCTTTTCATTCATTCATTTATAAGTTTCTTGTAATCATAATTTAGCTAAAACGGACTAGAAGTATCTGTTTTCATTGTTTTTACAACAGTCAATAAAGTAGTTCTGGTTGAAAAATTCATCGATGTGTAAACCTTTTCTTGAATTTGTTCTCGTCCAATCAAAACACAAGGAATCGATAAATAGAATTAAGATTGGAATTATAGTTATTTGAGATCACGCGCACAGAAGCTGTTTATGATCAACATCGGGGAAAAAATGTGCATCCAAAAAGCTGTTCGTTTTGTATAAATAAGATTTAATTAACTTTTTAAGGGAAATACTGAGTTAAAATTTATAAAAACTTGAAACAATCAAAATCTATTCTAATTGATAAAATCATTTTTTAAAAAAAAGAAAGAAAAACTTTCACTGATCGCTGTAAATTAAATCAGTTTGCGTGTATAAAATGATGCATTGTGCAAGCAATTTAAAAGGGAATGTATAATTATGCAAGCTAGAATTTTAATTACAGATGCCATCATACTCAGTATTTTCTTTTTATAGTAAAATAGATCTAGAAACATTGTAAAATTTACATTGTTTTAATAAGCTTATTCAAAGTTATTCCGTTATTGACAGAGCCATTTTTGTGCTTACACTACTGTTTAGGGATTTTAACAGCACTGTAAAATATATAACAAAAAAGTTGTAGGGGGTGTTGCGGATTTTATACGATATGGTTCCTGTTCCCATGCGAAGCGTCGTGACACCGCGTGATTTACGACACGATGACCATTTCACTCTTTTATCGATAATCTTCTACCAAAAAATATTTAAATTTTATGGTTTTAGATTTACAATACCAATCAGCCCAAACTGATTCCAAGCAATCCCAGAAAGCATGCAGTTCCGGAGATTGCCCTGAGACTGTTTTCTGTCAGATTGGTTCTGGCCGGTACTGTATATTTTTCCATCATTCTATCACTGTGTCGTGATATCTCAAAAACTGCATTCTACTTCCCAGTGATATAAATAGATGATCATTCTCTCTTTACTTTGCAAATGTGCTTATCTGATGAGGATTATTTTGAAACAAATTTTATGTTTTGGTTCTATTGTAGAAAGCTTTGGGTGATAATTTGGATGTGTTTGTGTTTCTATGAGGCTCGAGTTTCAAATAGCTTTATTTCCCAGAAATATGTGACTACTTCTTACTTTTTTTGCATGTGTAACCCTTTTTTACAACAAATTGTTCTATCTACGTAGGTTTTGAAAGTGTAGTACCTGTACCTGATTCAACAGAATAAATATGTTGATCGGTATCTCCGTAATATAAAACGTTATTGAATGTACTTTTTGCAGTTTTTCTTTATTTTTGGCACCTTTTGTCTTTTCACGGATATAATATAATGAATGTTACTTTTACAAACTTGATTTTAAAGTTGTTTTGAAAAAATGAATAAATATTTTTTTAATATATTTAAGATGTAGTAGTTCTGAATTAAGAAAAAAAACACACAAAACAAACAAATTCTATTCTTCAGAGTATGGTGACAGCATACTGTACATGATTCTTATGATAGATCTTTCATTTAAACAGATAATAATTATTCATTTTGGCACATGCATACAAGTACAGTACATCCATATTTTTTCAGTTCAATTTTCCAAATCAGAATCTTCCATTTGCTTATAACGTTGCATATTTGAAAAGAAATTCTTAGAAATATAAGTGTATGTAAAAATAATAAGTTCGATCATCTTTAGTGTTTCTCTGATAAGAGTACGTACATATCTTTAGCCTTGTTAAATTGATTCTTTACACGCAGCGAGAATTTCTGGTCTATGTTTCTACACTACATCAGCAGCTGGGTTAAAAACTGGAATGCTTATACACATTTTTCTGGATATTGATAAACTTTTCATCAGAGATGTAGAGTGTATGTATTTCCATGCCTTCAAGTTGGTTAATATATTTTTGGGAGGAAAATATGCTGTCTCCAAGCATTCCACATTGTCATTGTATGGAAAGCCCACTTATTAAGTACCAAAAGTACGAAGATTGTATACTATTTAACGTCCCTCTCCAGAATATTTCACTGATATGGAGACGTCACCATTGCCGGTGAAGGGCTGCAAATTTAGGCCTATGCTCGGCACTTACGGCCTTTGAGCAGGGAGGGATCTTTATCGCGCCACACCTGCTGTGACACGGGGCCTCGGTTTATACGGTCTCATCCGAAGGACCGCCCCATTTAGTCGCCTTTTTACGACAAGCAAGGGGGTACTGAGGACCTATTCTAACCCGGATCCCCACGGGGCTCCAAAAGTACGAAGAAAAGTATGAAAAACATATATATTTATTATACAATACTTTATTAATGATATTAGAAGGAAAGATAAGTTTAATGAACAAAGCAAAGATAATTATGTACATGCATGGTTGAATAAATAATTTAAAATAGATTTAAATTCCACGAACTGCAAGTAGAGTTAATGTACAAGGTATTCGGAAGATTTAAGTAATGTCAAAAGTAATCTGCCAAATACTTTTGCTATGGAATTACTCAAATTAAGAGAGAAGACCATCTTAAGTTTTAGTGAAAAAGTATATATTGCTCTTATCATTAGCAGATCTAAAATTCTAATCAAAGTACTGAAAAGTACTGATGGGAGTTGATTATTAAATTAGTTTGATGTATGATTGATTGATTGATTGTATATATATTGTTTAATTGCTATGTTTTTTTTCCATAAATAGGAAACAAGGTAAGTTAAAAAGGTAGTTTTATCATGACCATAGTTACTAAAAAGATTAGGGCAAAATTAGCTTAATTATATCGTCCCAATCGAAGTCGGGGACGACATATTGCGATTGCACGCATGTTTTTGTTATACAAGTTGTTTCTCGGAGATGGGTGGGACAATATTCCTGAAACTTTCCTCAAAGAAGGATCACTGGTTGTAGTTGTGGTGTGTGGTCACTCAGTTTCAAAATGGCTACCGTTGCCATGGAAACCTGCAAAGAGCGACGAATTTTGTCCGCGAGTGTTCTCTCTGGTCCCTTGAACATTCATCATGAAATTTTATTGATGTAATGATTAGTATCTGTAATTGTGCTCATTGGATTTAAAAAATGGAAATTGTCAATAGTTTCCATGGAAACAGGGAAAAGTGCAAATTCTTTAACTTTGATTTTTAAATCAAAGTACTGAAAGTACTGAAAGGACTGATACAAGTTGATGGTTTTCCAAGTTTAGCTATAATGGGTATTGTTTTAATGATGAAAAAATTGAAAGTCTTATCAGTTCAGGACGACATAAGCTATTGCTTGCAATAGCAGACTTTCTAGTTATAATTGGCGTTGTTTAATGGTGACTGAGGTGCGGAATTGACGCCGTCACCAGTTTGTGTGACAGTCATTAGAGGTGGATGCTCTTGCGAGCATGTGGCGTTATCGTCAACCCCACCTCACATGAACGAGTGCTGTTGCTAACTCGTAGACATCTTGTGTCGCTATTTGCGCATTTACTTTTATTTTAAACACTGACATCCAGTTTCAACATTGTTATTCCCTGAATATGTTAATGTGATATTGGTCCATTGAACAATATTGTATTTTACATTGCTAACATTGTTTTTGGGATACTGGCCCATTGAGTCACATTGTGTTGATTTGACATTGTAACATTCTTCATGGGATATTGGCCCAATCATTTGACATGGATAACATTGTAAATGGGATATTGGCCCACTGTATCCATTTTTGCGTGGCGTTGTGCATTCGCGAAATTTACCCAGTGCACAATATTTAGCTCATTTGGGGTCGCCACATTTGTTGTTGATTGTTGGGGAGACGACCCGGCGGCTGCTCCCAAATTTGTCATATGTCACCGCGACCAGATACGCCAAACTTCAAATAAACCCTATCAACTAATTAAGAGCTATTTTATGTACAGTTGTAATAACATCTGAGATAAATAAGAAAAATGT